TTTCCTGAAGCCCACGCTTCAAGTCTATTACATGACCAGGTCCAAATGAGGGCATGATTCTTAGTAAAACGTGTCCATGGAAATGAAACCACAATTCTTGCCTAAACACAAACCCTGAAGAACAAAAGGACCATACAGGTGGATGGGGAGAGTAAAGATGTAAACAATTTAGGGACCACAGAATTCATCTTTTAGGCTTACTGGCAGGAAAGCTCCATTTGGATATATCCATTGTGGGAAGTTGGGATCCCAGGCTGCCTTTTCTGTATCATCTTCATCACTGACTCAATTAGGTTTTACACTTTCTAATTCCAGATACGAAGATGAAATCAACAAGCGCATGTCAGCAGAGAATGAATTTGTGAATCTGAAGAAGGTGAGATGAGTAAGATCAGGGGTTCATGTTTCTTTGCTGAAGGAGAGGACTCTGAGAAAAGAATAATCAGCGAGACTAAAGGAGGAGCAGACTGGGAAGGAGGGCTTGGCTCATCTGATCCCAAGTTGTTGGTTTCTTCCCCAGGATGTGGATACTGCTTACATGAATAAGGTTGATCTACAAGCCAAGGCAGACGCTCTCATGGATGAGATCAACTTCCTCAGAGCCCTCTATGAAGCAGTAAGCATCTTTCCACACTCTGCTTTATTGACTCTAAAGAGATTTGCAAAGGATGGAAAATCTTAGGCTTGGGTACCTCTGTAAATGTCATGGGAAAAGAGAATCTGACGATTTCATGTTCTGCAGGAACTGGCTCAGGTGCAAACCCACGTCTCAGATACTTCTGTCGTCCTCTCCATGGACAACAACCGCACCCTGGACCTGGACAGCATCATCGCTGAAGTCAAAGCCCAATATGAGGAGATCGCTCACAGGAGCCGGGAGGAGGCCGAGTCCTGGTACAAGTGCAAGGTGAGCAGTGAGGGGGAAGCTGATGAAGAATCCCTGTACCTCCTCCCTGAAGACCAGCAAGGCTTCCCGAGACTTCACTCGGGAAATCTACATCTAGGAAGCGGGGCTCCTCTCAAAGAACGTGTACCCTGAACCAACAGAGTAGATCTTTACAGTATTTATGTCCAAGTCTAGTAAGTCAAAGAACCTAAATGTAGGACAAGAGCTACCATAGATAAAGGCCAAGGGATCTTTGCTTTAGCTTCACCCTGATGCTGGTTCTCAGAAACAGTACAGAGGATGTTCTGGTCCTGAAGAGAGCCAGGCAGTCAGTGGTCCTACCAAGGGTGGTGTGTGATGGGTGTACAGTGTCCATGACCTTGTAACACCAATTTTCTTAAAACGCCTTGTGGAGGAACCATTAGTTTCCATTTGTGAAAACCTTGATTAGTGTCCTGTGAAGCCCATGAACACCATCCTCTCTCCCTCTGGTTTACAGTACGAGGAGCTGCAGGTTTCGGCGTTCAGATATGGGGACGACCTGCGCAACACCAAGCAGGAGATCTCTGAGATCAACCGCATGATCCAGAGGCTGAGATCTGAGATCAACCACGTCAAGAAGCAGGTATGGTGGGGACCATGGAGGAGAAAAGCATCCTTTCCTTCCTAGACCACCAGGGATCATCAACCACCATGTAGGGAATTCCTGGGCACTGAGGGAACAGCAGGGAGGGGAGGACATGTACTTCCTCCCTTAGTGAGTTCCCACAGGTTAGAGAGATGGATCCCAACCCAAGAGCAGGAAACAAACGCATGACAGGACCAATCCCGACTGCTCAGTGGTACAGAGATAAGGTCTTGAGGCGCTGAAATGAGATTCCATAAGAGGAATGATTGATTTGGGAATGCAAGACACAAGTTGGCAAAGAAAAGGTCAGGCCAGAAAGTGTGAGGAAGGTTGCTGCAAATATGCTCAGATTTGATGTAAAAAGAAGGTGAGAAAAGACACAGGACAAATGAGGGTTTTCCAAAAATGTGAAGTGGAAGGAAGGCAAGGTCACAACAGTTTAAAGTGAAATCATCTCCTTACTGTGGGTGTCTGTAGTTTTGTGTGAGTTAGTGTGCACCCACATGAACTTACCCAAACTGCCAGTATTCAGAAGAAGCCAGTGGGTCCATTTCTTCCAATGTCCCCTGGTCTTGGGTCTGCTGTAGTGTCTTCCAGCAGTCACCACCTTCATCTTCATTAGGGTGATTAACACAGAAGCGCATAGGGAGCTCCTAGCCTAGTTCAGGTTTGCAGAATGGAAAAAGACTGGACAAAACGTATCAAACCTCCTTTTCCATGGAAGCTGGGCTCTAGAGCTCTTCCTCACTGGGAAAGAAGAACCATGGTTCATCTCCTCAGGAGTCCAGATTGCAGGTTCATCTGCCCATCTTCCCCTCTAGTGCACCAACCTGCAATCCGCCATCGCCGATGCAGAGCAGCGTGGGGATATGGCCCTCAGGGATGCCAAGAACAAGCTGATCGAGCTGGAGAATGCCCTGCAGAAGGCCAAGCAGGACATGGCGCAGCTACTGAGGGACTACCAGGAGCTCATGAATGTCAAGCTGTCCCTGGACGTGGAGATCGCCACCTACAGGAAGCTGCTGGAGGGCGAGGAGTGCAGGTGAGTAACTCACACAGCCTCCTCAAACATCTGGGTCCGTCTCCAAGGTGTCCAGCCAGTGAGCACCAGTGGAAGGCACTCTAGTCGTGGCCATAATGCCACTCCCAGAAAAC